GTTAAAAAACTGTTTGTGCTTCTTTTGCTCTGCCTCTGAAATATTATAAGGTCCTGGAAAACCTAACTACTCTTTTTCCCCCTTTTACTTCAATCTACTTTAAAACAGTTTACAAAAATAAGATACTTTACAAAACAGGAGAGAATGAGTATTTGCTCAATTACTCTAACATGGAGAACAATAAAACCACAGATCAAGCCAATCAAATTACATAGCTTTCAAATTTGCCATCCAAAAAGCTATGATATTATAATGACAATTATGTCCACCCTTATTTTGTTACGTTAGGATTATGATTTTACTCTGCTTGTGTATCTAGAAGGACTGACACTTCAATATGTTGTTAGGTGAAAAAAAATTGCTTTGACACTTGTCACTACATCTTATGCTAGAAAACAAGTGTTGCTCCTAATCAGAACAGACAATACTACAGCGCTGTTTGATGAAAATTACAATTTGTAACTGGTTCTATGTAAGCCATTCTAACCTAATGCCAGGTCCTTGTTGATGATAAGTGCTGCTAGGAAACATTACTGGGCAGCTCCGAGAATGCAGACGGTTAATTATGACTTCAGCAAAGAACAGTTCATGAGATTATGTATAGCTACAACATGATTAACTCATTTGCTTATCATTTATGCGCATCTGCAATGTTAAGTGCATGTGCAGGGTGCAGATACTCTCTGTATATTTTAGTTTTAACTGATATTCGGAAATTCTCAAACCTATCAGGTTTTATACCCTGCTTTTCTTTAAAAAGAGTGTGAAGGTAGCTCATAGTCAGGTTATAACCAAGTCTCCCTCTGTCTCTGATGATAGCTTTTATTCTTCTTTATAAAAATTAGCTGGGTCTGTGGATACTATAGCCACCTGGTGAAATTTCAGCACCAAAATGTGATCTAATTGGAAATACAAAAGCAGAAGCTCTGGCATTACAGCACTACAGACCTAGTATCTGCAGCAAGAATAGTAGGATTCTGCAGCAGTGTTTGTGTGTGGCTGTCAGCAGTTGTACACCCATAGAATCTACTATTAGCCATAAAAAACAAAAAAGAAAAAAAAAGAAAAAAAATAGAAACCCAGCTCCAGGAGCTCTGCTTTTTACAGTCCCCAGAGTCAGCTTCCCCTCCCCACCAAAGAAGAGTCAGAAGGACTCCATGCTGTTCAGAGTGAATAAACAGGTTGACACCATCTTATTCAGAGGATACTCAGAGAGTGTATAGCAGGCATGTTTCATTCTACATGCACCCTCTGAAATGAGACTGAAATATCCTGTGCTCCTCTAGAACAAAGACATTAGTTTAGTTCATTTGTTCTTAATTAGAAATACATTTGTTAATTACTAATTTAGCTTTACTTGAAAATAGAGAGAACACATGCACAGTGTTCTGGAGATATGTACCATTTTATAACAATTAAAATCTGTATACAAACATTCATGACTCTCCCACATCCCCCAGGTCTAATAAAGCTGTCTCACAAGGCTACTGATCCTCCTCCCTAAAAAGCCTGAAAACAAATGAGCCTTGCAGTATTATTGAAAGTTTGGCTGATTCAGGCTCAGATGAACTAGTGAATGAAGCAAGTTTCACAACTAAGGCACCCCACTGTGAATGCCTCACCTCCAGGCACCTTGCAATTAAACCAGGAGACTGTTGGCTCAAACCTTCTCTGCTAGTGTGGTATTGATCAAGGAAGCAGCCATCTCTAAGGCGACTATTTCAGATTTCAGAGTTTTAAAACAATGCCTTAAATTTCATCCTGACAGGAGCTATGACCTAATGCAGATGCAGCATATTTCTTGCGAAATATGTATACCTTTTTCCTTTGATCTTCATTATGTTAATGTGTAGACCTGTACAAGCTTCATTTACCCTACCATTTCTTTTATGGTCTCCCATCATTGCACTAACTTCAGTGGAAGTGCCACTGTAGAGAGGCCTCCACTAGGTACCAGGATTTTAACCACAAAGGGGCCTGTGAACTTGCTCATAGCAGGATTAGATCACACGGTGATTAAAATGCTAAAGTTTACATTAGTGCTTCCCCAGATGCCACAGCACAAGGGAACTTTATATTGGAACTAAATATAAAGAGAACACCACTGACATATAGTACATAGCACATGGTGCACGTAACCACTGTCACCCCTTGTCTCCACCCTGGTGGAGTGAACCCGGCTGTGCTCTGGCTATTCTTAGCTGCTGTGCCATGTGATTTAGGAACCCAAGTATAAATTAGAGTAATCTTGAAATTGCCTTAAATCATGCTGGAAGCCTAACCCAATGGATTACTGTGACTTTTGTCATTCCCAGCTGAACATAAAATTGAACCCGCTACATTTATGTTTTATCCAGCGTGCATGGAGTCTGCTCCGAGCAGGGGCTCAAATCCAGCACCTTCAAGACTTCAGTGGGAACCACCAAGCAAAGTGCTGGCAAAAGAGACTCCATGTTTGGATTTCCTCTTCCCCCTTTTGAAAGACAGGTGTTTGGGATCTTTCCCTTCTCTGTGTTTTTACTGCAGAATCCTTGGACATCAAATCTGATCTGATCTAGTTTTGCTGAAACGTCTGCTGCATGACAGTAGGTTCCAAAGGTGAAGTCACCCTGACAGCAGGGACAGGGTGGCTGAGGCTGTGATTTGGATGTTGGCAGCCCTCCCCATTAATGGGGCTGGAGTCAGTCTCCCTCAGCCAGATGCCACAGCCCTCCTGGGATTTTCAGCCCTCCCAGATAACAGCCTCTTCTAATTGGATGCTTGCCTCTTTCCCATCCTCCTGCAGAAAAATAGCCAATCCAAGCTACTTCAGAGTCAGGTTGAGCTCTACCCTGCCCTCAGAAGTCCAAAAACATTCACGTGGCAACAGGCAGCTGCTCACTGAGATACCCTGCTGTTTTGCAGAGCTATATGGCTCTACTGGAAGTGGTACAGCTGCATTTACATGTCACTGTGCCCAAGCCAATTATCCCCACCTGTCACTAGAGCTAATTAGCCCACCCACACCACCGTATTAAGTTGGCTTACAAGCCAGAACAAGAACTGGTGGTTCCTTCCAGTTCCAAATGCTTGTGGTGAGCCTTGGAACTGTGGAATGTGTCCCAGAATCTAGTCCCCAAAGTTGGTCACTTTAGTTGTAGGATTAATAGACAGACTCCAGAAGAAAGGAAAGTTGTTCAAATGTGGGGCACAGAATTTATCTGAATTTGGCACTCCGAGGAGAAGATGGCAGCATGTTGTACAACCTGGGTGCGTCTACATGAGACGTTTACCATGCAGTTGACTAATTAGCTGCACAGTAAACATCTCAGCATCTATACGTGCATCTCTATTAGGGTGCACAAAACTAATAAACTCCACAGTTGCCTGCCAGCTAGCCCCACAATGAAGCATCCTTGTGCCCCAGCCAGCCCCTTCACTGCACACTGAGCCGAGTCAGAGCAGCCCCAGGCTGCCAGGCTGACCTCCTGCCCCCAGACCCCCTGCCAGCCAGGACTGCTGTGACCCAACTCAATGTGCCGCAGTCTGGGCGCACATGTAAATTGTGTGTCACGGAGCAATAAACTGCAGAGCTTCCCGGAAGCAATAAATTGCTCTGCACATGAACGACGTATGCCCCTGGAGGCTGGGGGTGGGGCACAGCAAGCACCCACAGGCAGTGGCGGTGCTGTCAGTGGCAGGAGCGTGGTGGAGGCAAGTGGAGACCTGCTGCAGGCAGCCACAGTGCTGTCAGCAGCAGGGGGGGAGGGAAGGGGGGGAGAGCGCTGACCTGTGGTTGGCAACTACCTGCAGACGCCGTCAGCAGCAATGGCGGGGGGCCGAGGGCATCGTGGGCCGCCCACACAACCCCACATCAGCAGCAATGGCGGTGGCCAGAGGCAATCGTGGCCTGCCCACAGACGCCAGCAGTGTCAGCTGCGAGGAGGGGTGGCGAGCAGTGACAGCCCACAGGGTGGCAAGGGGTTTACTGCCATGCTCAGGGGGTGCACATACACCCCCACCTTGTGTCACCAATGGCTCTGCAGTTTATTTTTGCACATTAATGACACGCGTAGATGTGCCCACTGTGTAGTTTGGTCTTCGGTTTATATTTAGTTCCAAAATACATTATATACACTTATATTTAGTTCCAACATAAAGTCTCCTTGTGCTGAAGCATCTCTGGAAGCACTAATACAAACTAACCAATAGCATTTTAAGCACTGTGCTATCTACTCTGATTTAAGCAAGACCAAAAGTCATTTTGTGGTTTAAAATCCTGCCAGCTATGGAGGCCTGACTACACTGGCGCTTCCACTGAAGTTAGTGCAAGAGTGGGAGGCCTTAAAAGAAAAGATAGGGTAAATGAACTTGTTCAGGTCTACATATTAACACCACATGGGTAAAAGGAAGAGGTGCACATATTTAACAGGGTTTCTAATGAGAACTCCTGCAGTGCTGTACTACTGTATAGATTTGAGAGAATTTGGAACACACATACTGTCACACACATATATATTGTCACACACATACTGGGGTGAGCAGAGGATGTTGAAAATGTGACATATAACATATAATTATATGGGCAGCATTCTCATATTTGAGAATACAGCTGCTGATTTCTGAATTCTGCAGGTTGACAATATGGAAATTAATAGCCACAAATGAGTGACTCTGGAGTTTTGTGGTATCAAACTTTGCCTTGTATACCAGGGGAACTGTGGCATAGGCCAGTGCTGCAGCACCTCTTTTTGCTAAAAATACAAGAACATAGGACTGAAGGCACCACATGGGCCAGTGAGTCCAGTCTCCTGTGTTCACAGGCAAGCATTTCACCAAAAGGATCCAGAAGAACATCCACTCTGGTTACACACTGGAACCACAAAGCACCCAACTGAAAACAAAGATGAAAAGAAGATGTGAAAACAAGAGAACCATAGTCTTTTCTTTCTTAACAAAATTATTGTCAAGTCTCATGAAGAGCAATTCTCTTCTCCACTGGCCCTCTATTATCAGATGCTTTGTTTTGTTTGTTAGCCTCAATTGTGATGTGCAGTTGCTGCTTGACTGCTTCAGTGACCTCAGTCACAATAGCTGTGGGCAAGAAAAAAGATGTTTATAATGCATCATCCTTCCCCTGAAATGCCAGCTTCAATTTGCTTGGAACCACTGGTTCAAATCTGTATGACACATAATTACTCTATAAAAAGTGAAAATTAGGGTTGAGAGACAAACACACACACACACACACACACACGGAAAATAAATTAAGGACATAATCCTTGACCTCTCACACTGGAAACAATGAAAATCCCACCTCCCAGTTACTGAGACTGCTGGGAAATCATCAACTTGAGGGCTGAATTTCAGTCTACTATGTATAACATAGCATTAATAATATAGTGCCCTCAATTTACCTCCCTATGCCCAGATGCCAAAGCATCCTCAATCAACCTGACTGCCAGGCCCATGATATGTTACAATGTCTAATTTTCTTTTAAGTGTTTTATTTTATAACCACAATAATGCTCATTCGAGTGAACAGTGGTTTTCTCTCCACTAGTTAAATGAAATTTAGGATAGTAACAACATTTGCTCTGATGCATCAGACTTGGCATCCAGAACAAACATCATATAACTGGTACACCAGTATTTGGAAAACATGGATTTGAAAATAAATTCCTACACATGCTGAACATTTTCTTTTTTAAATTTTTTTTGGTAGCTTGAAAGAGACAAAAATAACAAAAGCAGAAAAAGGGGACTAGATTCCATGCAATGATTAGCTTTATGTAAAATTTAGTGTTTTCAATACTAAGTTGAAAAGTTCTTCAATTCATTGTATATTAGTCAATAAACATGAGAAAAATGTTCATTTAGAAAGAATCTCAAATTAAATTCCAATCTAATAAAGGCCACTGGTTTTTCCTGTGACTCATATCCTGGAATGAAAGAAATATAATGTAAACTCTCCCTGTCATGACCCCCTTTTCATTTCTTATTTGCAGATGTACAGCAGATTATTGAATTTTGGAACATGATGGAGAGAAGATTTGGCGAGTGCTTTGCTCCACAAGCATTTTTTTCCTAATTACTGTATTTGAATATGTTTGAGTTTCAAGTAAGCTTGGAGTATTTTTAATTAAGTCATTTTAGCTCTAGAAAGTGATAAGAAAATACTTGTGCAATCCAGTCCAAAATGTGGTTCACTTTAATTTGTCACACAAAACAATAATGATTTGCCCTGAGAAGTGCTCATGCAACTCTCAGATGCTGCCCATGTAAAAAGTACTGTTGACTGGAGCAAGAGTAATTCTAGCAGAGGGTGTTGCCTTTTATTAATTACAGGGAGATCTAAATATTTGCATGTGTAGGCCCATTCACCTTGACTCCTGATCATCCCACACAAATGATCCTCTCCACAGTTCTGCTGTGGAGTGTGAAGTCCTCAGATTCTGAGACAACAAAGAGTGAACTACAGTAATTGTACTGTAAGATACCCTTTTTAGCTTTATCCTTACACTGAAGTCAGAATTTGGTACCTCTTTCATGCATCATCTCACGTTCTTTTCTGAATACCTTCAAAGCTCAACAAATGTAAATCAATTTTGAATATTCAAGACAATTTTGGCTAATGACTTGGGAATTCCAGTTGGCCAGGATGTTAAAACCCCCAGAATCTGGGTATAAAAAGGAAACATCGAGTCACTTTTAACCTACAGTGGTACTTCTGTTGCTGCTGCAGCACAAATGGGTTTTATTTACACAAGAAAAACCTGACTCATTTGGATGTCCTATGTATAAGCAAATCCCAGATTTGATTTTCTTATCTGAAACTAAGTACAATGACTAATTGTAATTTCTCTTCTGATCATCCTGTCAGTACTGCCATGTGTAATCTGTAAAATATAGTGAAGGTTTTAGGTTTAGAGGCACTTTTATAATACCACTACTAAGTAGTACTGCAAATGACTCTACAATGCTTTTCTGGAAGAAGTCTGTTTATATATGTGATAATATGTAAAGCATGTAAGGTAAAGAAATAATTAAGACCAGCATACTGAGATCACATTTAATGAAGAGGAGAGTCTAAGGCCACAACAACTCTAGAAAATTCTGCCTGTGAAGCAGCATCAATTAGTGTTGTGATGTCTTTATTGAATTTTTATTCCAGCAAAAATCCTGGTCTGGATGCAGTTATACCAGCAAAAGAGTGCTTTTGACAGTATATATCATTTTGTTTGGGTAATTGTTACAAGCTGTAAATGCATTAGTAAGGTTTGCCAGCATAGCTATTAAGGTAGAGAGAATACTAGCAAAGTTTTTTCTAGTATAGGCAGGGCCTACACATTGCAGGACCAGAGCCTAACTGTGATTAAAATAATTTGAAGAGATGTGCCATGTGCTCTGATTTTCAGAAAGGCCTTGTTTCTGCCTCTGGTTTTGTACAGTTGCAATTCTGTGGGCACAAATATTGTAAGCACATTAGACATCTAATTACCTAATTCCTGGCATGTATTAATGACATGCAGTGTGCCTTCAATTATTTTTACTTGCAAAATTGCACCTAAAATTATGTCTAGTGCAAAACTGTGGGTGCAAAATTGTAGACTACTTTTCAAAATTCAGCCCATAATGAACCATGAATAAAATTACAGGTTTGTCAGTGTAGAGGTTAACATATTTAACACTCCTCATTTTTAAAAAGCTGCCTGACACATGTCTCTCCTAAGAGTATTGGTGGTATAATCTGGCAATGAACCTTTAGGAGATTTAAATGTCTATATCAAGAGCTTGATGATTTTGGTGTGACAGTATATTTTTAATTTCTAAGTTTCAGGCTTGAGTGCTGGCTATGACACTATTTCTCTCTGGCCTTTGATTAGACAAACCTCCTGCCTCAGTATGGAAAATTGGGGTAGTAATAACAGTTTACCAACCTCAAAAGTATCATGAGATTTAATACATTAATAGGACCAGTTTAATGAGATACTATCAAATGGAGTGGAACCATTCAGTTCCTTGCAGGATGTATTCATTCATTCATTCATTCATTCGTTCAACACAATGCCTATTTTTTAAGATCAAGTGCCATATTAAGGTCATCAGATACAATTCAGGGCAAATTTGAATTTAAAAAGCATGCTGTGCAGTCAACTCAAGCCTAACTACCCATTGGGTCTGTGTGGTTAAAAAAACTTGGCTAGTGTCACATCTAGCCACCTTGGACTTCCCAGTACAAATAACCATTTAGAGCTGGTGGTGTAAATCCACAATAGGGCTTGAACTCAAGGCTCCAGAACCATAGCAAGACACTGTATCTGCTTTACCATTGCACCCTCTGTTATACTGTATTACTACTCGGAGCATCAACTACGTTGTGATTTAGAAAACATCAGTTTAAATAAGGTTTCCAGATTTGCAGATGATACTAAAATTAGGGTTACAGCAAATAATGAGGAGTAATACAACTGGATTCAAAAGGATTTGAACCATTTAGGTAATTAGGCCAACAGATGGTACTTGCAGTTCAGTGTAGAAAAATGTTAAATAATTGGTTGGGGAATATGTGCTAAATGGAACAACTGTATAGTGCGATGATTACAAAAAGGGGTTATTTGGAAAAAATCTTCAACCATGAAGACCTGAATCCAAGAAAGAAAAATAAAGCTACCATGATGTATTAGCAAGGAGACAAATAAAAGAGATGAAAATGACAACTCCACCAGGCATATTGTGTGCACGCTATTTTTGCTGTTATTAAGAGTTCAGCAGAAAATAGCTGTCCCATACTGTAAACGTTTTCACAACTTGAAAAATTCTCCCAATTCCACATTGTGTCAGATAAAACAGAGACATATAGAAGTTTCTTATGGGGAAAAAATAAACCCAACAACAGAAAACAAATATACAAGGAAGAGGAGGCAGTGTCCTACCTGAGTAGCTAACAGCACTGTGGTTAGGGTACTTATTTGCATTGTGAGAAATCCAAGATCAATTTCCTCCTTTTCCCAATTCAGACTTCATCTTAAAAGTTATGGAAAAAGAATTAAAGATTAGGGAACATAGTATAAAAGGAGCTTGTGCAGAACTACTTCACCCAATAGCTAATAAATATATAGAATGTGTTACAGAAAGCCTTTTAAACACACTGCCACTAATCAAAGTTTGTGGTAAATTCTCACTGTCCAGTTTTAAGTCACTGTTAGGTGCTCTAAAATACATTCTAGTTTGGAGAGGAATTAAATGATATGGCCAGATGAAGTACTTATAATGGTCCCTCTGGTTATAATCCATGAATCTATGTGATTTAAAAAAATGTGTAGTTATTTATGGAGTAGGAGACAACTGAAGGGCTGGAAAAAATAGACAGCTGGGATTACGATACTAGTAAATATTAAAAGGCATCATGTTCCAGGTCCCAAAATGTCTTTTGTTCTTACAATACAACAGCAAAGTTCTGCCCCTACACCACTAATCCTCTTTTTCATTCTAACCTGCTAACTTTATTGTGTACAGGAGCTATCATTTGAAAGTGCTCTGAGTGCTTTTCTCTGATTGCGCTGGCAGAGTTATATGAACCATTACCTATCATTACCTTTATTTCAAATCTGTCACTTCTTCCTCTTTGTAGCCAACAAGCTGTAGGAAAAAAAAAGATGCAGTCTCTATCAGAGAATAAAATCACCCATACAAAAATGAGATGAAAGAAATGTGAACAAAGAAGGAAAAAGGAGATGAGAATCTTGATAAATCAGGTTCTGTCTGTGCAAAGGAGATTCTAATCTACAGCTATATAAAAATCCTAAAACACAATGCAAGCTAGAGCTGGGCTTTGTCTGTGATTCTTTGTCCTCTCACTGCACTCTGAACTAAAAATGTCTCAAAACATTCCACAAATATTATGCAAATACAAATAATATTGCTATGACTTCATTAGGCGTGAAATATATATTCAAACTCCAGTTATATATATATAAGCTTGGATTCGCTTCCCTAAAAGAAGTGATTTTTTATGAGGTGCTTTTCAGTAAATCCTTCATGAGCTACACAATGGGCCGTGAGCAATTAATGTTAATTAAATGGCCCCTTCTAACTGTTGTGCTGCTGGTGACATATTAACGACCTCAAAATGCACTTGGATTTGGAGTTGTTTTTTTTTCAGGGTGTGTGCCAGCCTGCCTTACCTCTGTAGATCCATGGCATGCTCCAGCTGCTACTGCACATGTATGGAATGCCGTTCACATTTTCAGTAACATGCACTATTAGCCAAACACTGAGAGAAATCAACCACTATACAAAGTACTGCAGAAATAGCTGAGAGATTAAAGCAAACCAATAAGCCTGATTTTCCTGCTTAAAACACCCAGAGAAGCTAAATACAACTGCAAATTGATAGCAATATGGACAGACGGATCATCACAAAGAAAGCTAAATTAATGTAGGAGAAACACAGGCTCTAGATGCCTGTTTATGCTACTCAGTGACCAATGATAGGAACTTTTTGTTGCTTACTTCACACAGAGACAGGACAAGAAACGACAAGGCATACTTCTCCCCAGTAGAATATACAAGTTATATCAGGAATGAACTTGCCTCAAAAACATATTAAAAAGGTAAATGACCCACAGACCCAATACAAGAGGTGGATCAATTCACATATTTTGCAAGCCAGTGAGGACATCCAGAAAGAAATAATGTAATAAATTAGAAAGGCAGCAGTTGCAGTCCCAAGCTTTAACAAGATTTGGCCATAAAAAATCTACAATTTACAGACTAATCTGTGAACTGTCGATTTGAATATTATGTCCACTCTACCATATGAATGTGAAAGATAGAAATGCAACAACAGTATAGACAGATGTATAAATGTCTTTGAAAGCAAAAGCCTCAGAAAAAAAACTATGTATTAAATGGAATAAATATATAACATGCCAAGATTCATCACTGAGCCCAGCAACTTATCTCAGAAGTTATCCTGGAAAAAAAGATAGAAATATATCATTCCTGTTAACATGCAGCCAAAGCGTCTACTATGACAGGTGTACCATTGGGCAGCTGGACTGAAGTTCTAGCTGGCTGAAAAAATCCTGTCATCAAAGAGAACTTAGAAAAGGATAATTTACATGACTTAACAAGAAAGAGGGCATACCCTAGATACAGGGATGCCTAAACTTTGTACCTTAAAGGATGTTTGATGGCACAGGAAGGATTCAAATTCAGAAGCAAGTTTCTCCCCCACCTTTGAAGAGAATTTACTTTACACCCTTCCTATACAGTCTTTCTGAGTCTTTGGTTTTCTTGGTAACCCAAACAACAAAATGTAACCATTAGTCTATACACAAACTATTGCAAGGTAACTTTTAAGTAAGATAGATTTTCAATGGAAGACCACCACTACTGGGACCCACTATAACTGGATGTAAATCTACAGTATGTTAGTGAGCAGCAAAATGGCCTGTGCTTGCAGGCTTATGCACAAATTAACAAAAATATGCACAGTGGGACACCAGACCAACTCATTTGCTTTTCAGATACATATACATTTAATAATGAATTATGGTGGGCCATATGAAGCCTGTGGGCTGTCTTTTACACACCCCTGATTTTCAGTAAGTTTCTCCCCAAGCCTGCTAGCTCCTGGAGCAGTCTTGCAGGACCTCATTGTCTCTCAGTTATTACTAGGGGTGTACCGATAAAGATTTTCTTGGCCAATACCAATAGCCGATGATTAACCAACTGTATTGGCCAATGCCAATCCGATAACTGATATTTAGTAAAAGTGCAAAGCATTTTAAACTACTGACATCCAAAAACCTTTACTTTTTGTTTTGCATTTATAAACAAACACACATGCTCCCTACCTGCTCTGGCCCTTGATGAGGAAGGTGGTGACTGCCTTATTCCCATGCATGTCACCCCCTCTCCTATGGTTCCCACCTGGAGCCCTGCCCCCCGCACAGCCTGTGCTGCCATCCTGGATGGGCAGGGCAGAGCCTTGCATGGACAATGGCATGGGGCACGTTTGGAGTCCCAGAGCACGCCACTGTATCAGCACCAGCAGGCGCCACACAGCCGATCTCCCACAACTGCCGGGAAGAAGCCACTTTGGCAAACGCATCTCGTGCTCAGTGGAGCAGAATATCCCTCGCGCAGTACCTTACCCCACCTGCATGCAAGCCAACTTCTCCACAGGAACACTCAGGCCCTTGCTGCACGTGCAGCATTGCCAGAGCAGCAGCAGCAGGAACCAGTAACAGTCCCTTTGTTGCTGAGTGTGGCACTCTGTGACTACTCCCTGGCATCCCCTCCCTGTCCTGCTGCTTGCTGGAACCTGTAGTCTGCCACGGGCGTGGGCTGGTGGTGGGGCATGGGGACCAGACTATGCTCACCAGGGTGCTATGGGCGCACAGCCATAATTATTGGCTACAAGGACCAAAACAATCCGATAGCCAATAACATCATTTCTCCTTTTATAAGAGCTGATCTGATAGCCAACTGATATATTGGTGCACCTTTAGTTATTACTTCCCTTATTTCGGATATGTTGAAACCACTGGTACAACCAAGTCTTCTGAGGGACAAATTTTATTTAATCTTGTGTATTGTGGTTGGAGACATATTAAAAAGTTAGGGTAGGTGGCAGGGACAAAAATAAACAACAAAGGCCTAGAAAGTTTTGATATGGAGTAGCACAATGAGAAATGGTTAAAAAAAAAAAAATTTGTGTGGCAGAGGCAAGAAAAAGCCTGAAGAAGGACCCAGGAAGCAATAAAATACACAGGGGAAAAAATAATTTGGAGCAGCACATTACTATATTATTTCTAGAAGCTGATGAGAGGTATGTAGCATCCCCACAGAGCTGCAGGCTAGTTAGCCTGAAAGTTGTATTATAATAGTGACATTGTGCATTCCATTTAATATAAGATTTTCATTTTCAAATTAGAGTTTCAGTTCAGTACATAAATATGTTCAGTGATGGCTACATACCCTGCTTTCGCTGCAACAAGCTAGAAATAACTGATTACTAATGCTTGGATCCAAAAGTAATCAGTGAGAGTCAGGGAGAGAAATGCACCCACACAGACAGGAAGGGAAAAGGCCTTGCAGAAGAGAAAATGGAGAGTGCCAGAAAGAAAGAGAAGTTTGGAGTAGGGGGAGACCTAAAAACAGTATTGTGGTAATAACATTGTACCTTGCTCACATTAGTGTTTGTTAATGTGTGCAATAGTCATGAAACCTAGGTACAGAAAAACACACCTGTCTTTACAAAATGAAATCTTTAATTTTCCTAAGGTCAACCCACAGCAAACATACTGAGACACAGTCTGTTGGATCACAGACACTCAGTTTATATCAGATATTATTACTGTCATCATTCATTTGAATCACAGTAGCACTCACACTACATTAGACACTTTCCAAAGATTCCATCAGTGCTTCAAAGGGCTTCAAACTGCCTCTCACCATCGAAAATATCTTTTCTAAATAGAGGAAAAGAGTCATAGAGAAGTAGGGCTGGAAGGGACCTCCAGACGTCTTCTAGTCTAACCCCCTGCCTAAGGCAGAATCATCTTTATCCAAACCATGCCATACAACCATAATCTAAATGCTGCATAAGACTACCCTCAACCCTTACACAACACAGACCTAACACCTTAACCTACCACAAGTAAAATAGGGGAATGTCCTGCCTCTATAAAATGATGTCAGTAAGTCAGTATACACTCAAGAGGTCCTGACCATGTCCCCTGCTACAGAGGAAGGCAAAAAACCCCACACTCCATACTAACCTGATCTTGAGGTAAAACTCCTTCCTGACCCCAAATATGATGATTGATCTGACCCTGAGCAGGGGGGCAAGACCCTCTAGCCAGGAACATCCAGCTTTACTCCTAGCAGGAGAATCAACACACCCAAGTTGGCTACAGCTAAGGCTGGGGACTTCAACATGTTGAATGTTTATCTTGCTGGGATCCTGTGACCCCAACTGACTTCCTGCCCCTGGGGCAGGGGGCTGGACTCAATGATCTTCCAAGGTCCCTTTCAGCCCTAATGCCTATGAAATCTGTGAACACCCAGTGCCTCTGGGGAGGCTTAAAAACACCCTGATACATATAGCAGAAAAGAGTGGGGCAAGGGGGTGGGAACAAACAGCAAAGAGGAGACTGGGAGCTCCCTGCTGCCAGGGCAGGAGGACATTGTCCCTGCCTAGGCTCTGGTGGCAGAGCCCAACTCTTCTGGTGGCAGAGCCCAACCCTGCAGCAGGCAGCACCCTGGGGCAGGAAGTAACCTCCTGCCCCCTGCTGCCCAGCTGACTGGGAACAAAATGTGCTCCCGGTCAGCCATCTACACATGCCTTACTGCACAATAATTACTTGGCAGTTAATTTGCTACTTGCATTTGCAGGTAGCAAATTCATTGCCAACTGGAGCAAATAACTGCATGGTAAGGGTCTGCACGTATAGACAGTGAGGCTTACTATGCAATTCTTTGCTCTGCTGCGCAGTAAACATCTCATGTAACCACACCCATTGAGTCTATGATCTACCAAGACTCCCAAGTCCTTTTCCACAGTGCTGCCATCCAGCCAGGTGCCCGCATTTTGTATTTGTGTTTTTGGTGATTCTTCTTGAGGTGTAGCCCTTGCATTTGTCCACATTGAACT